ACAGATGAGGAGTTAGAGGCACTGCAGATTCTTGCGAAAAGCCAATGAAAATGGGAGAAGTGTGGTAGTTGTGCGGCGCCACTATATATTACAATGTGTATGCCATAGAAGATTCATATGCTTCAATTGTTATATGTAAAATAAGGGAGTCGGTAGTGTAAAATGTGATTCGAAGGATCGGCAGATATTGTGGATAAGAAGTTCGATTCTCTCTGGCCTTCATAGACTGGTTTTTTTAACCATGAAGTTGGCAGCTTCTCCAGTTTCTTTGACCACTGCTACACCCATGTAGAACCACATGGAAGTTTTATCGCAAAAATCACTCGAAAGCCAGAAAATTAGATTGAAATTTTGAAAGGATATTCATCCTCCAAGGTTTCAAATTCAGCTTTCACGCACCATTACAGCCGCAGTCCGAACACTGCTACACTTGGATCATGTGGTGAAGTCACTTATAGAATAGAAGTCATAGAAGAAATAGGTAGAAAATTCTACACAAATCTATTTGCTTCACGCACTAATTTTCTTCGCTGCTAAGGAGAACGCGCATTATATAAGTAATTTTTATTGCGTTTTTCAGGTTTTACGTGTGGCGGAATGCACAATGAAGTCAACAAAATTGAAGGAAACGAAAAAGAAACAATCACTGATGAATTATCCACAAACATATATGCAGGGCTCGTTGATTCCCGTTTTTGTTTGCAAGGGACCACATATTGGCGTTGTCAGAGTGGAAGCATCGCCATTATGGAACGGCGTCATACGGAAACAAAATTTGCGTGACGAGAATCTGGCATGTTTTTAGCTTTTTATAGGCTCAAGAAGGTCAAGAAGAGAGGTAGTGATGAATAAATGGCTTTTTTTTTGGATTTATCGCTGAAAGTCTGCATTGGCCGGTCCCTATTTTTTCATGGAGAACCGCTTAGTTTGACGGAGCACCTTTTCCAAACAGACAGAGCACATTTTGCAAACAATATGAACTGGAAAGGAGTGAATGAACGAATCGTAGAAAGACTGGTTGTCCTAGTGGCGGTTCGAATCCTCGTCTTCATGAATGGGAGTAATTCGCCAACGCTTTTTTCTCGATGCGTTTACTATTTAGGGTTTTTTTTTTTTCCAGTTATCTAATCCAACGGATCAGACATCGGCTCTGATTGATATCGATTTCGAGCCTGGTGAGAAGTTGATTGCTCGAGTTATTGGAGTTAATGTGACGAAGAAAAGGCGACCGAAATCGAGGCATCGAAAATGCTTGGAATTATCGCTTGTAGAAACAAAGAGGGTTCGGATTTTTTAAAATTCTTTAGAAAAAAAAGGAACTGTTGGTAGATACGAGTAGTGAATAAAGGCCAGTCAACCTCCTCCTTGCCCCAAATGGTCTATGCTCGCAGTTGTGATATGCAGAGCCCCTCCTTGGACTGGAGTCGCCCTCGTGATATAAAAATGATATGTTTGGTATTGATAAGACTTCTGCATCTTCATTTTGTACTGAATTAAGACAGCATGGTGGAGCGCCGCATGCACACATTCCAGACAGGCTCGTTACTTGTACAGGTCGCTCAACTTTTCTGCTTTGTAGCGCTTCCGCTCCGTCCTTCAGCTCGCGCTGCACGCAGCTCTGCCCCGTCTAGCAGTAGATAGCTGGTTCCCATATCTGATCTCGCCTTCCCCGTTTTCATTTGTGTAAAACAAAGCGAAAAAACTTGTAACTAACAGGCGATGAAGCACTGGTTGGAGCAACTGGAAAATC